GTTTTGTGTCGTTGTTTGAGAAGCAAAGTTGTATTGTTATATTCCCGCATGCTAAGTTTCTTTCTCACAGGAAATGGGTGTGGAAAGAAAAGGTATAAAGAGGTAACCTTTTTTTATAGTTGTGCTTGGTCTTTTTTAAATTATAATGTGATGTTTTTCCATTTTACCCTAAGTTTTTTACGCAATGTACAGCCTTTACTATATATTTGCAAGATCGATAGTCAATATTTTATCTATAATTAGCTCTCTTTTGTAATATTTTAACCATCGTTTTTCTTGTTTAATAGAATTATATATGGTGGTATAGTGGTAATCGACATGAACAAAAATATGTATGAAAATTAATTTCGATAGCGTGAAAGAAGATAAATATCGAAAATGACATACAAAAATGTTGATTATGCTTCAAAAGAATATAAAAACGTGTACTATATGAAATTTAGAGTGTTATGTTTCGAAATTACGTTACTCCCGGAAGGTAGGGGGTGGCCCAATGGGCCTCTGCGTAAAAAACAATTAATCTCTAAAGAAGAGGACCCCACCAGATCTAACAGTAAATGCTTTTAATTTATTTTTTGCGATTACTAAATGCATACGACAAAGACTACTTTCACTATTCCCGGGACGTCTCGAACCGAAAGAAAATTACTTTCACTGTTTTCCCATAAGTTCATATGTGTGTGAAGAGGACAGGCCTAAGGTTTTGGTACTAATGGGCTGTATACAAGGCAAAGCCCAATCATAAGTCTCAAAGTCTTTATTAATACGCAGCGTTTTAAGAATCTGGGCTTTTTCTCTCGTTTTTTTTTGTTTCCTTTCATTTTTGTAACATTCAGAGAATAATGTTACAGTTTCCGACGTTGATGACTCAGTTTCCGTCGTCGACGAAGACAATTCCGGCATCATATTTGCTTCCGTTATAATGGCCTCAGCCGCAGAACGAAGAGATCCTTCTCGCCATGGAAGAAGCTGAGTTCGAAGGAAAGGTACTTTTTTATTTTCTCTGTATTATCTCTCTTAATGATAGCAATTTTTCAGTTTTCGAGTGTGGGTGATACATAATTTTCCAGTGTGTGTACTGTATTTATGTAGAAACCTATACAAGTAATACACACTCTATTAGAGGATCTTCTTCCCCTAATTCCACATTCTTGGCTTGTTCTATTGGTAGAAAAATGATTAAAAGTGCTGGAGTCACAAACAGAAAGAATGGTATTGAGAGGCAAATGCAGAATATCTTTAGGGTTGGTTATTAACCATGGGTTTCCTGTCAAAGAAATGGTCAAGCTGTTAAAGGATGTGATTGATTGATAAATTGATCAAAGACTTGGGATTTCATTATGTAAGAAGAGAGAAGAAAGAGGGTTTTGTATTGTACCGGAATCAACGTATGCAAAGCATTTGAATTGGAGGGTGGCATTGTTTATAAAGCCACATGAGGGAGTGAAATCGTCACATTTTGTGCAATCCGGTGAGTCCCATTTGAGCCATAAGTCTTGATCGTTGAGGTCAACCGCAAGAGGTGAAGAAACAGGTACAAGTAATGTCTTGAATACTTGACAAGAGGGCGGCATTGAACCGACGATGGCGAAAAAGGAGGTCGTCGAATTACCAAGGCAATGAATGGGTTTGAAAAAAGAGGATTTGAAATTGACGTCTTGGTTAGGACAGATGAAGATGGTGTAGTTGAGAAGGTGAAGAGGAGAAAACGGAGATTCGGAAGCGTTGTTTGGAGAAAGTCATAATGTGGTTAGACACTAAAGGGAAATGTTGTAAGTACTTATAGAGATACTTGAAAAAGTCTGACAGCAG